AACCATCCCATCAATTCCTTGCAGTGTCAACTCTGTGGGAAGGGTGCTGTGCTTATTGTCCCCAGGAAGAAAACAACATGTCCTCATGCATGAATAGCTCTTGCATCGTCTCGTCTGCATGTCGCGAGCGTACCAACATGAAGGTCTGTATATATGTCCACACATTATATAGATGTCATAGACGCAGGAGGGCCTCAAACGTGAGGATGTGACCCAAAGTGGAAAGCCATGGGCTGCCTGTCAGCTGATGTTCTCAAGTGCTCGAATCTACCTGACCATCGGAATGGATGAGTGGGCCCAAATTCCACAGGTTCGCTCAACCAAAGCTTAACAATCCAAGCATCGCCATCTCAGCAGGGTAAATGCTAAGTAAGTCAGCTAGCGTCACCTACAAATAACAAGACATTTGCTGCAATGCACTCGTACATGCAAGCAGAAGGTATGGGCGAGGCTGATGCTTGAAAACCAAGGCCGTTGGCTTGGATTGCAGGTTCTGCTCCTACTGAAATGGAATCTGATCTGTAGAGACTTCAGTCAGGGAGTTTTGCAGCTTGCTGGGATGTCAGTTATTTGCGGTTCTGCATTGGGATTGACGTGATCTCTCTGGTCAAAGGGGCTTCTTGGTCCGAGCTGCCGAATCATCGATGAAGCGAAGCTCCTTGACCTCGCGCTGAGAAAGTCCCCCTCTGTCCGACCAGTAGCCGCCCAAGTGCTGCAAAACCGCAGTCTCTTCCATTCTGACTTGAGCGTAACAAAGCCAGCTACTTGAAGTTGGCGAAACAGACTTGAGAACTACAATGACACTATGGTACATACTTGCTCAAAGATGCTGAAATCTTGTTTGCTCATTGCAATTTGGAGACTGGGCTCCATCCTCTGGGAGACGGCACTTTGCGCCGATCTATGTTCACGGGGCCCCGTAGGCAATGCAATCCCTGCCCTATCATCTCTATCACCAAACACGCACCTTCAGCAAGGTTGCTGTGAGTTATCCTGCCATGTCCTTGCCATGTTGTTGGCGAACAATGTGCACCTTTGGAGCACTGTTACTCGTGATTTCCACCCTTGCCAAGATCGTCTCTCTCTCTCTCTCTCTTGATTCCGGATTGTCGCTCTTTCTTTCCGACACCCTTCCCAACACATTTCAGCACAATTCAGCATGCAAGTTGCGGGCGGATGTCAGCCAAACAACAGAAGGTCGTCAACAGCGCACGTCGCACCCCCAAGTACCCTCAATCACAAGGCCTCATCACCGAGGATCCCGGACCTGGGACGATCCAAGTCTTTGCAGTCTCACACGCTTCACGCCCGTTCCCAGTGACATGTTCTACAATCTTGGGCCAAGCTACATTGTGACAAATCGGGGAAGCATTTGTCGATTCACTTGCTAAACTCAACAGTCCCATGTCTGCTGTGTTTTGGCAGCAAGAACACACACACACACACACACACACACGTGTCTAGGGCTTCCCTGAAAGTTATGCAAATACAGCAGCCTTCATTTCTGGTGCGCTCACTCTTGCCAATGCCCTACCTGTATAAATGGTCGCTTCAGGTGTATGTTATCGCAAAATACAGTATTGCAAGCTGTTCAAATTGGGTCCATTGGCAATGTGCATTGGGTCACTCGGCACAACACAACGCAAAGGAATGCAATTCCAGTTAGTCGAAAGCTACGGACTGTTCCATTTCATGGCCACAAGAAGAACTCCAAAACGGGATCCCCTGCGTACTGGGTCCTCTGTCGCTGGATTTGCCATTTTCTAGGCTGCTTCCATTTGATTGGATATGCTGATTGGGTTTGCGGTCCGAAGCATGCTTGCTTTCGCATGCTTACTGCCCGGCAAGCGCTGCCCGGCAAGCGCACTTGGTGCGAGGCAAGATGTTGTCCACGCCTTGGGAGCCGGCGATCACAAGGGCCAAGGCCAAGCCAAGAACGTGCTGTGTGTCCAAAATTGTGTCTGCGCGTTGTGGGCCTAGTGGGCTAGAAGTACGCTTTTGCACAGAATGCTTGATCTTCCTGGCCAAATGGATACAGGCAAGCATCGGAACAGCGAAAATGTCATTCACTCACAAGGTCGTTCGTGCCCGCTATTATTCAAAGCCCTGCAAGCATGCAAAGAAAGCACACCTGGAATGGCAAAGCACACCGAGCGGGTCAGAGCAGTTGCATCTGATCAAAACAAACAGTCAGCAGGCCTATCTCCGAAACAGCCTTGCAGCGCACCCGGCATGCAACGCACAATGCTACACAACCTCCCAAAAATCAGGGGCCCACGCCCTGTCAGAGCAAACTCGAAATGTTTGCAGTTTCGGACTGCAACTCAGTGCATTCAGACCTCTCACCGCCACCACAGCCTGCATCTTCCCACGCACACGTGCAAACCCATCCTGGAGACAGTCCAAAGGCACGTCGTGCGGACACTTCAGAAAATATTTACGGATGCAGTGGTTGGACACGGTCAATGGGTTCGATCATGCACTAAGTTAAATTCTGAAGTGTATTTTCATTGAATATCTTGTGTTGTAGTCCAAGTCAACACATAATGGACCCAGTGTTGGAGCCTTGGTAAGTTGAGGAGGTTGACTCAAATGTCTCCTCGCCTGCAAATGCCCAGTATGCAATGGACACAAATTGACACCGACCCAAAGCATGAGTTGCAACAAATCCTCGCTAGTGGAAAGCCTATGTTCCAGTGGCGCAGGCGTCAAGTGAATAGGAACAATTGATTATACGCTATTTAACAATATGTTCATCCCACAGCCAGGTTCTCTCGCAAACCTTGGAAATGCAACACACTCAAATTGCTTCTGGCTCCTGCAAAAGAACACAAAACAGAGCACAACCCAGTGTTCCGCTTGGTATGATTATGAGGAACCAGCTCGCCATGACAAAGCCAAGGCACACTTGGAGGTCACCCCACAATACCAGGCAGACTTTACAAGGGAAATGAATCCGGGAGATGTTGGCCCCTCCTTCTATTACGCAGTCGCTTCAGCAAGGTTCCCTTGCGCACTCAAGCCGAGGTGCTGCAGGTGGATCTCTTGTAGTTGTTTGTGGAACACACCAAGGCCTGCGAGCTGCTAAGACAGGCATGGGCAAGTAGGGCGTGCAAAAGTCATGCCTGGAGGGAAGCATGTGAATCCAACATCAGGACATCTGACAAACTTCAACCCCCATATTTTAGCAGCCGCCTCCACTCCGCCTCCTCGCAACTTTGTGTCACAGCACCCCTCCGCCACGTTGTTCAGTATTCAGCTGATTCCAAAAAACTGTTTGATTAGTTCCCACATGTTCCCACTGGCACCAAACCGCACAAACAACGTATTCACCGGCAGCGCTCATGCGCCTAGCGCGTGGATTCCTCGGCTCAGAGCGAGCCTCCATGGGCAAGCCCTCGAGCTCCTTGGGCAGCGCCTCCGATCGGATCTCGAGATCGAGATCCGTGCCGCCCCCCACACGGACGCACAATGCACACACCTAAGAGCAAACCCAAACATCTGCCAGAACTGCTATCCTTTTGAGTGGGGGCACCCAATCGACGGAAAGTAAACATAAGGGAGACACTGAAAGCGAAGGAAGCTTGATCAGGCCCTCCCCACTCATCAACACGGGACCTGAGAAAATCATCTACAGGTACATTGCACTGCATAAGGGTAATCCCAAATTGCATGGTGAAATTGGGGGCTTCTGCCCACAGCTTGGGTCGGGCCGGCCCCAAACCGAGCTCTGCCCGCCTCCGACGGCTCCAGCTCGATCCAGAAGCACTCGTCCCCCGGGCCCGGGTCCGCCTCGTTTCAAGGAAGGCCATGGCGTGGGAATGGATTCGGAATGATGCGAAAACCAGGAGGGTCCTTTCCTCTAAGACCCAACAGCCCATGCTTCGATGAGTGCTTTTGCTGGACCTAGGTTTTGGGGAGCACAATTGTCAGGCTGTGGCCAGTGGTGGAGCAAACTCGGAGTAAATGCAAACTAATGTTGGCTCACTTGTGCAAACAACTGGAAGTGAAGGGCCAAAATATTCGGTTGTCACGAGTGGACACGGTCCATGCGGTGGCTTTGGAACGGCATCACTGATCTTTGCTCTCAAGTTTCCAGCCCAGGGCAGCCTCCCACTGTCCGACTTTCACAAGGTCGCATGATCAAACAACTCAAGCAAAAGCAGTGAGGTCAAACGTTTAGTCTCAATACAAAACGGAGCAGTCACGCTGGCGTTCATCCCCGACTGGGCGCAATTCAAAAAAGAACGGATGCAACCACAAAGGCAAAGGAACCAAAGGGGGGGGCTAAGGGGAGGCTGAAGGCGTTGTGACCCTCATTTTGCCTCTGTGGATTTCAATTTGTTGAAATCGCAGTCCAAGTGGCAGCAGCATGGCCGTTGCTTATCTGCGCTGGTTTGAAGGCCTGGCGAGCCGAGCTAAAACTTCGCTCTAGGTGAGCGAGGCTGAGTATGTCCGACATGCCTTCCGAAGTGCAACCTTGCGTCGAGGCAATACATGGTTCCAGGTGAAGGTGTAATTGGTAGCCAGGAAGTTGCTCGGCTTGGCATTGAGTGTTGACGTTGCTTGAGTGTCTACCGAAAAGGGGCTCGCACCTGGGTCCGATTGGCCGGTGCCACCGGCGGCCAAACGTCCAGCTGCAAAACGGACAGAAGTCGCAACTTAAGCGAACAAACGTAGATCTATCTAAGGGTCGAGATTCCTATACCCCATGGATCAGTGGATGGCCAAAATAGCTAGACCCTAATTGCCCACCAGGCAATAGGAGTTGTCGCTTTTCGGCATCCCGCATGCAGTTGGCCCACCGATTCCAATCTGAAGCCCTGCGGAACTCGGCCACCGCTCCATGCCATGGAACCTCCCCGAGGCCTTCCGACGTTCTCCAAGACACTGCATTGTTTTGCCCAGAAACATGTCAGCAAGGTGAAACCTGCCTACTCAATGCATCTGCTTTGCAATGCATCTGGGGATTGGCACTTTATTCGGCGATGGAACACAACAACCGATTGCCCGCCTCAACATGTTCTTGCTTGACCTGCGCAAAGGCAAGCTGCAATCAAGCTTGCACACATGCACTGCCAGAATTCGTTTGTTATAAGGGAAGAGCTTCGTCAAAGTACAAATGAAACAAGCAAATCCTAGTGCGGGATGACGGCAGTGTTTAAACTCGCAGGCAAAAGGACTTTCGAAACATCACACGGGACCAGCAGACTTTCACCTGCGTGAAAATATGTTTTCGCCGGTCAGTCGGAAGGACATGACATTCCAGTAAGGCAAACGAGTGCGGCCATGAGCAAAGCACTGAACTGAACAAGCACCTCATGAGACGTTCCGTGAGGCCGCCACACCACCAGCCCTCCCCGGCCCCACAAGTTAGCCAAAATGCCTCTCCGGGCGCCCTGAGCTCCTCCTCGCCGTGGGCAAAGGGGCAGGCATCACCTCCTCAGCAAGCCGAAAGTCGCAGCTGGTCGCCAGCCGTGCCATCCGCTCAAAGTTACAAGAGTTGGTTGGCCCCGCGTTATCATTCTCCAAATTTGAGCATCGCCTAAAAGCGATGAAGGTTTGAAGAGAACAAATTTTAAAAAATGGTCAATGTGCACGGGGCTGTCCAATGTCAGCATCTGTTTGGATCACATGGTTTCAACGCATCTACAAGTCGGTCATAGTCATGTCCCTCTAAAAAACCATCTTAGGGAGATATATATATATATGTATTTGTTTTTTGTACGTATCAATGTGTATACAAATATATCTACACACACATGTATACATTTATCTATATTTGGGGACCCCTTGCCTGGGAGGGCCGAGATGCCCGCAGGGCCACAGCAAGACTCTGGCAGAATGGCTACGGCGCTTCCTGGCCACACCGCCTCGTGCCTCAAAATAAGGCGGCGCTGGACTCCCGGTGGGGGTGTGGGACGAAAAAAACAGGCATGCCTAGTTCGATGCAAGTTTCCACTTGGAAATTGGAAACCACTATCCGCCAGGGAGTCCTTGGCTTGTTGGCGCATGAAACGCAAACCACCACATTGTCAAATCCTGTTTGCCCTCAATTCCTCAAGCCGCCAACTTTCAACAGTTTCCCGCGATGGACAAGTGCATGTCCATGTGGGAACTGTTCTGGGGTGGTCAGAGGGATTGTGCAAGATTTGCAGGGGCGGTTCGAGCAAACATTGTTTCGCGGTCTGCGTCGGTGGAGCCGTCCGACTTCTGCACACGGTGGATTGGCTGCTCTCGATCGCTCTCACTATGGCTTGTGGTGCATATGTTGAGCGTCGAAGCGCCTTGTGTACTTTGGGCGTGCTGGGTCGCGGCTCTGACATCCAAGGCCGTCTGCTGGCTTTGGGGGCGCCGGGTTGCTCTTGCTTTCGCGCAGTGCGAACTTCTAACATCGACAATACGCCTCTGCGGGCTGCGGGTGTGCTGGACCACTGGATTGCTCTCGGCGCGATGCGACGCAAACATCGATCAGCTAGCCCCTGCGGGCCTCTCTTGCTGCGAAGTTCTACACTCAAAAGCGAACTGCGTCGGAACGAAAAATGGCCTACCATCAGAAGTGCATCTTCTCGTGGACTTTGGGCCTGTCGGGTCGCTACCCCGGCAGGCAGCTATCTCTCGTAGAAAAACATCTCTGTGACTCTGCCTCACTTTGGCACCGGTCATCAGCTCAGCAAAGATCATAAGAAGACCCTGCGCGCAACCAAGGAGCAAAGCCCTTCCGTACGGACCCCTTTCTAAGAGCAGGCATCATCTTCCAGCAAGCAAACCTTTGTAGAGCTCTTGCCCAGCTTGACGGGCCTGTCCTTCAAGATTCTTGGCGGACATCCTGCAAGGAGATCTTGCGCCGGACCTTGCAATCACCTTCTTAAGTTACCCTTGGAAGAGAACTCCTTCCCTCTAAGGGCTGCTGCGCGCGACCTTCCTACAAGAGATTCGCGCGCAGAGCAATGGCAGATCTTGCGCAGCGCGCTTGGTCGGGAATTTTTCAGAACAGCTGCAACGCAAGGAGATCTTGCACCTTTGTTTCTGCGAAAAGCGAACCCGGTTGTCTCGAGTTAACCTTGTATTGCTGTTCTTACTTTCTTTGTAGGTTACTCGGATTCTCTGCAATGGTATTCCTATTTTGATAAATTTTCTCTAATGTCTTTTCATGTTAACAATATTTTCACTAATGGCCAGCATTAATCTCTCCAAATATGGCCCTTAGTTTCTCAACACACGCGACTCCCGTTTTCTCTAAAGTCGCTTCAGACTCCTGGCTCAAGCTTTGTCTATTGGTTGTTGCTCCATGACTCAGGGTGAACGTGCGATTCCGCAATGCACTGTACGTGTCCAAAGCAAAACTGCTTTGCCAATAACAACTAGTTAATGTTGACCATTATGGCTCCACATTTTGCTCTTGCAGTTTTCAAAATTTAAACGTTAGTCAGTGAAACTTGACTTACATTGCAAGAGGAAATGAAAGCATTTAAGAGAGCGTCGTGTCATAGGGAAGGCTTGGCGGACAACCTCTGAACTAGCCTGCAAACGGCGTGCTGCGACGAAGCTCTTGTCAAGGGCCTCTTATCCGCGTTGTCTAGGACTCTAAGAGCCGTTGCGCTACCGTCGCGCAACGCCCTGTTTTTTTTTGCGTCCTACTTGCGCTGCTTGGAGCAGAACCCCTGCGACCACCCAGCACACAAGTCGCAAGCTGCGGGGGCTGTGCGGCGCCAGTGCAAACGAAGCGCAAGGAAGCAAAGGGGAACACTTGCAAAGGCAACGATCGGAAGCTGGAGGCTTCGACTTGCAGGGCCTTCCGGTTTCTCTCAAGGCACAACAAGGAGCGCACGTCACTGACAAGAACTCTCAGCCGCAGGTCCCCCCAGTTTCTCTCCAGGCACAACGAGCGCATGTCACTGAGAAGAACTTTCAGACAGCATGGTCATTGCTTTGTCCAGCCCCCAACGATTGCAAACCTAAGAGTCTCTAATTTTGAAAGGAAGCCTCCGACTCCAAACAAAACTGCACCTGGCCGAGGCGGGCAGCGCGAAGCGTTTGCAATAAGAACCTTAGGCGTGTGCGCCCGTTGCTTGCAAGGTGCGAGCACACGCGAACTCCTTCTTGAAGTCGCCTTGGCTTCATGTGAGCTCGAAAAGAACGCCCCACCCTCAATAGAGAAGACAATTGTCAAACAAGTCTCAAATCCCCCACGTTGGTGGGAAGCACCCTCACCAGGACGCTCAGAGCGCGTGTCCCAAATTGTCCATCGCCCCATCCGTGACAATCGCCCGCAGCCCTCCATCAGCAGCTTTTTGCACGCCCCGCAACCATGAATGATCGTGGCTTTGGCAAGATGTTGGGTGGGCGGGCAGGGGGCTTGGTCTGCAAGACACGCTGGCGGTTCTGCGCCCATAAGCGCTGAGTTGGAGTACGGCCACGTGGGCCGGCGTGCGGAATCGCGCTCATTCACACTTCACTTTTGAGGTTCGCTTTGCAGCCAGCGCTAGTCCCAAAACACTTTCTGCGGATTGACTTTGTCAGTCACAGCATCCATGTACTCGAAAGCTTTGACCATACTTAACAAGCTCAGCTTCCTCCCGAGAAAGTGAGCTGCCAGATCTCAGTCAATGTTCGCCAGTTCCTCAATCCAGAACCAGCTAACACGACCTCGCGGCCATTGGAGGGCCAAGCTGGGGGTAAGAAGCCCGGAAGATGGTCTCGCGATTGCTTGGATCTATTCCGGAAACGAGGATGTGGACCGTGCCAGTGTCATAGAGCAGTGTCAAGCAAGCGAGGGCGCTCTCTTTTCCTGAGGAATGAACAGAAACCTATGTACGAAGCCAGGCTGAAGCCACGATGAGCCATGCAGAGCTCTGGCGTATATGAATGAACATCCGTCACCCACCCACCCACCCACCCACCCACCACCCAGACACCCACCCACCCACCCACCCACCCACCCACCCACCCACCCACCCACCCACCCACCCACCCACCCACCCACCCACCCACCCACCCACCCACCCACCCACCCACCCCCGACCTGGACTCGTAATGCACGACTCTGTCTCAAACATTTGACAGGGGACGGTTTCCGGGCCAACCCTCGCCCCCCCCACGTTTACCAAACATGTTGCCAGCATGTTGCCAGCGACTGAACAAGTAACTCCCGACTCCGAACCTCGCGTGACGAATCTGCCTTTTACTCATCGGGCACAACTGCATTTGACTCAGACAAGTCAATGCTACACAAGATTCGGACTTCAATCGGCCAACGCGGGTCAGTCAGCAGGGCCGTGCTTTTGCGCACTGGGTAGCGGTTTGTTCCGGCAAGCTCTTGGCCGAGCAACTGCACAGCTCCGTCTTGTAGCCGCAGGAGCGTGGTGCCTGCGAAGCCCACGCCCAAAAGCAATGCCATAGACTGCCGGAAATAACCTTGCCATCCTCCCAGTGGATTCAGGCAAGAACTTTTGTCACAATGCAGGCTCTCATTGCCGACGTGCAAGCAACACATGTTCCTTGGCTTTGGTTGAGCGAGAGCATGGCGGCTGCAATGCATCTATCCATACCACCCCTCCGCCCCCCCCCCCCGCCCCCCCCCCAAAAAAAAACAACAACTAGAACCACGGGTGGCCCGAAATCATAATGAAAAGTGACCAAAGACCAGCAAAGCGAGCCGACATGCAGGGGTGCCAGTGGAGTGGTTGTTCAAGATCGGTGTTGCGTGCGCGCGTGTGTGTACGTGTGTGCGTGCGTGCGTGCGCGTGTGGGTGTGTGTGTGTGTGTATGTGGATGTGTGTGTAGGTGTAGCCAATCCCCGCAGAGGATCGCGCAGAAAAATCGTAAAAAGACCTCAGAAATCGTTCGCAGTCCTCAGTTTTTGCACATCGACCGCGCCAATCCACGCAGAGGGTTGCGCGCGGAAATCGTAAAAAGCCCTGTTTTTGGACATCGACCACGCCAATCCTCGCAGAGGGTCGCGCGCGCACCGCAGAAATCGTAAAAAAAAGCCCTCAGTTTTTGGACAATGACCACGCCAATCCCCGCAGAAGGTCGCGCGCGCGCCGCAGAAATCGTAAAAAGTCCTCAGTGTTTGGACATCGACCACGCCAATCCCCGCAGAGGGTGTCATTTTCGCAGGGTGGGTTCGGTCCCACCGCGCCGCCTTAAGAGACTAACTTATTACTTTCGTGTCCAAATGTCTCGTGCAAGTTTGGCGGTGTGATATCTCGTGCAAGTTGTTCTCGTGCAAGTTGGCTCGTGTAAGTTGGCTCGTGCAAGTTGACTCATGCAAGTTGGCTCGGGCAAGTTGGCTTGTGCAAGTTCGCGCAAGTTGGCTCGTGTAAGTTGGCTCGTGCAAGTTGGCTCGTGCAAGTTGGCACGAGTAAGTTGGCTGTGCAAGTTGGCTCGAGCAAGTTGGCTCGGGCAAGTTGGCTCGTGCAAGTTGGCTCGTGTAAGTTGGCTCGTGCAAGTTTAGCTGTGTGATAAGGCTGGCGATTTTACCGGAAGAACCCTTCGCAATGCTTTCGGGGAAAAAAACACATGACACACACACACACATTGTGCATTCATTCGAATCAGCCCAAATAACCAAATTATCTGTTTGTCCACTACGCGCTGAAGGAGTGGAACCAAACCAATCAGCTGATTTCGTGGAATCCGAAGTGGGCGGTGTTGTGTACGCATGTCCATCTCTCAGCTCTGCTGCACTTGTTGGCCTCTCACCCTCAGTCCAGGGGACACATCCTGCCTCCACGCCCTCCGGGCGGGGCGGCGGCGCTGGCAGCATCCGTGGCGGAGGGGCATCATCCCATTTCCTGCGCCTCTTGCGGCCGAAGTTCCTGGCCAATGGAAAGTCAATCTTGAGTTGTCACAAGGTTCGAGACTCGAGAGGAAGCTCGCAGGTCTCGAAAGGATTTGGAAACCTGTGTGCAGTCACAATGAAGAAGGTGTTGCCCAAAGCATTGTGGACTTTTCTTACATCCGGGCCCTCACATCCCCGGAGATCGGACCTTGGTGGGCCCAGAAGCACGGCATCAGCTGGAGGGCCGCGGGCGTCCTCGGCTTCGCTTTGACTCCACTCGAGCTGAAAGAATCACTCGGGTTGAGAACTTCCAAAGAGCTTCACTCGCATGGGTTCAATGGATAGCCTAGCCCCGGTAGGATCTCTCGAAACGATTCGACGTGCTTGCCATCCATTCTCGGGGGGGGGGGGGGGCAGAAGAGGAACTCTGCGCTTTGTGTGGGTATACACCATTATTTCCCCCTTTGTGTGGGTGACGCGAGTGGACCCTTTCAGGTGCTTGCCCACCTTAGGTTAGGCATTGATCCATTTGGATACTGAGAACCCAGCAGGATTTCGGAAAATATGGTTGAGAATGGGTGACGCCAGGACCCTCTTGCAATCAGTATTGAATAATACAAGACCGCAGAATGAAATAAACAACAAAATTGACAACCATCAATGGACGTGACAAATACACGCAGGGTTGCACAGCTGAGTGTAGACATGTACAGCGTGCAGTCATCTATGTCGTGTCAATCAAAGGCCAAATGGTCGATTCGTTCAGACAACTGAGAAGCTAACCAGACTCCAGAAGTTACCCAACTGCACTGTCCGATCTTTAGCGCCTAGACACCTAGATTTTCGGTAGACTTGGATCCTCGCAACTCGAATCCTCAGCTTTTCGAGCTATGGGGCTGCTCAGTATTTGGCTGCTCCCCACCACATCCAAGAGAAAGGGCCATTTACGAACCTGGCAAACCTCCATTGACAAAAAGCTTGCCCAGCTCGAGTTCGATGTCGAGGTATGAAAAAACGTGTGTCGCTTCCAGTTGTACCACCATCTTCGACAAACGTGTGAAGACGTCTCATGTTGAATTGCTATCGCCGCACTTTGTGGTACAGCTCCTTGCAACTATGGAACCAATCCTCCCCACCTCTCCCACCCGGGTCGGTCCCCGGTGAATATGCCGGAGGCCTGCGCGAAGGAGCCGATAAGCGTCGGTTTTCAAAATGCCAAGGGGTGGCAACACCGCCATACCCCCTTCAGGGCCCCTTTCTGTGATTGCTTGTGGCTGGTGTTGGTTTGGCTCATTCATCTCCGAGGATCCACTGGCCATCAGGGGAAGTCTCAAAGCTTGGGATGCATTCAAGCCAAGGGAAACTTCTCATTTTGCAAAAGCCAAGGGAAATGAGAAATGGTCAAGCGACGCTTGATGGCCATCCATCTTCCATGCGGAGAACACTGCCGCACCCCGGCCTCACAAAGCTCTCTGAAGCCTGGATGGTTGCGGATGACTTCCTGGCACGTGCCAAGCTGGCACTCAAGAACCAAATGACAAGTTTGAACACGGCTACTCCTCAGATGAACATGCAACCCAGCCAACCATTTTTCAAGGCGCGTCATTTTGGGGGACGGCGATCTAGGGTACCCTGCTCAGATTTTGCCATCAACATTATCAAATCTAGACCTTATCCTACTATGTGGTTCGCCCTCAGGGGGCAATCTCAACTGAACTGGCAGCTGTCCTTGCTGTTTTGCTCGTTCACCTTCATCTGCTACCGAGAAATGCCAACGACCGCACTGCGGATGCCTCATCTGGGTTCCATCTGCTATGCTCGGGCGTACCGCCTCAAGGCAGTGCAGGGGCATAGCCAGCCTTGTTGGCCAAAGGCCAGTAGACCTCTCACATGTGGGTGACGTTACCAACCAAGCAGGTGTCGATAGGGTTAGCATGAGCAGCAGCATCATCGCGGATCTTCAAATTAAGGATACGCTGGTCTTCTTCCTCTTCTCAGCCCATTTCGAGCACACTGCCCGGACAACAAAATGTCCATCACGACTGCACAGGTCCTCATCTACCAGCTCTGCTCATACCTCCATCTCTTCCGGTGTCACGGGCATGTTGAGTGTGCATTTCCAGCCAAGAGAAATAGACAGCTGCAAATCAAGATGCCAAAAAGCCATAGACCATACGCCAGGAGCGTACATCACATCCCTGAAGGCGCTCCACTCGTCGTCTCCATTCGCGGACATGTCAGCTCCTCAGAATTCTGGACGAATTCAGCTCCGCGTGCCGTCCTTGTTGAGCGGAGGAGAAAGGCCGGCCTTGTCGGTCATGTTCAAGACCTCAAAGGAACTCATCGGTCAATACGCTACCGCAAAGGCATTGCAATTGGACTCAGGCTGGAGAGGCCTTGATTGGACTGGGAACATGGCCCAGGCCCTCCAACTGGGCTACATCAGCGACATTTGTAGGTCCTCCATGTGGAGTTCCCATCCCATCATTCCACGGTGATCGCCTTCCAACCCTGGTTCTTGCTGTGTCCCAAATACAAGAAGGCCAAGGTGTCGTAGTTCGCATCATCGTCCCAGAAAAGGGATAAGGTGCGTCACATTTGAGCAAAGGAAGTGAATCAAGCGCCATATTCTCACGCCTGTGGGAAGAGTTCTGCCGGTTCATCGAATTCTTGAGCCAGCTATAGGCAATATGCAGCAAAAAACAAAAAAGAGCCAGGGTTATTGCTTTGCAACATTTGGTCAAATGTTCAGTCTTTGGCTGATCATGCACACCCAATTTCCAGAAAGGACGTAAAGTGTTTGCTCCATGGCTTCTTCTGGTTCTCACGCGACCGTGGTGTTGACTCAATTTCTCGTGCTCTTGTTAGATGGGGGCCTTCACTGCCAAGGTGGCCTTGCACCTCCATGGTCTCTGCAACCCGAAGCGTGCCTGCAGTGAATCAGCATCCGCTGCCAGTGCCAAGGCCAAAGAAAGCTTCACCGTCTGCTGTCGGTGCTTGCCGTTCCTCCGGTGGGCTGGGGCCACACTAGGTTCTCTTCTCAAGCACAGCTTGTTCCGGCACCTGCTCTTTGTCTCTGTTGGCACTGAGGTATCAGAATCCTTCCTTCTGCCTAGAATCGGGGGCTCCCTAACATGGATCTCTCTGGCAAAAAAGGATTCGGTTATCTTCGCCACATGTCCAGTGCAAAACACTGGCTAAGCACATTGGACATGCTGCTCGGCTTCCTCCTTCCAAACAGCAATCGCATAGCTCAACGTTGACTCTAGCTGATTTCATGACTGACATGCCCACGGGGCAGCTAACACCTCTGTGACTGAGCTTTAGCAATGCTGGTAAATGCATTTCAGGGTGGTGGCAACGCCAGTACAGCTGATGCAGGCAGGCAGGCAGGCAGGCAGGCAGGCAGGCAGGCAGGCAGGCAGGCAGGCAGGCAGGCAGGCAGGCAGGCAGGCAGGCAGGCAGGCAGGCAGGCAGGCAGGCAGGCAGGCAGGCAGGCAGGCAGGCAGGCAGGCAGGCAGGCAGGCAGGCAGGCAGGCAGGCAGGCAAAAAAAAGGCAGGCAGAAAAACAGGCAGGCAGAAAAGCAGGCAGGCAGCCAGCCAAACAGGCAGGCAGGCAAGCAAGCAAGCCAGCCGGCCAGCCAGGCACCAACCAACCAACCAACCAACCAACCAACCAACCAACCAACCAACCAACCAACCAACCAACCAACCAACCAACCAACCAACCAACCAACCAACCAACCAACTCACCAACCAACCAACCAACCAACCAACCAACCAACCAACCAACCAACCAACCAACCAACCAACCAACCAAACAGCCATCAACCAACCAACCGACCCACCAACCAACCGACCGACGTGCGACCAACCGACCGACCGACCGACCCACCGACCCACACCCACCCACCCATTCGCCCACCCGCCCACGCGCCCACCCACCGACCCACCCACCAAGCAACCAAGCAACCAAACCAAGCAACCAAACCCAACCAAACCAAGTCAAACCAAACCCAACCAAGCCAAACCAAACCAAGCCAAACCAAGCCAAAACCAACCAAACAACCAACCAGCCAACCCAACCACAACAACTAACTCATGCAGTCACCAACCAAACAAGCCTGGAAGGGCAACTGCGGCCCGAAGCTGGCTGCTGTCCAAGGCTCGTCGCCAAACCCACCGCCCACTTGCGCCTGAGGTCAGGCCCGGCAGGGTTGGGGTCAGTGGTCAGCTGGTCAGCGTGCCAACTGGCTCTGGGTCAAAAACGTGTACCCAAAATGGGTTGCCCTGGTAAGTGGAAACATGGACAAAACCCTGCGGTCCCCGGGTGGTTTAATTTTGACCCATACCCAACTACAGTAACCCCTTGGATGGCTTGCTTCGAGTCGTAGCCTGATCCTAACTGCTGGCGTGGGTCAGCAGTTTGGTTCCAGTACCAGGAACCCTTCACGTTTGTCATACCCTTTATTTCTCGGTGAATGGCCACTTTATTTCTCGGTGAATGGCCAACCCGATGCAACTCTGCGCTTTGCATCGCTTTGCTTTATACTCACATTTTTCGTATTATGATATTATTCAACCATCCGCCCACTCTTCCGCGAAGCTTCTGCAGAGGCGTGGGTCTGTTACAACTGCTTCCGTGAGCTTCCTCGGTTTTTTGCTTTGGGTAACCACAAACCTTCCGCAAGGCTTCCGCAGGTTGGTAAAATTGACCGGAAAACAAAAGAGCTCATTTGAACACACGGGTTGCCAAGTGCTCCGAAAGAGGTGCTTGTCCATTCAGAGCTCACTCCCAAGCAACGGCACATACCTAGCGCAACACAACAGCACAAAGCGCTCCAACTTGAAGGCAGATGATGCTGAACTGAGCCAGCTGACCGAAGTAACATGCATAAATAGGAAAAGCAAGCTTTATTCACACTTGCCAAGCTTGCCCAGAAGCCTCCTACAACTTGGCGAAGAGCAAGCAACACTTGGCTGAGATTTCGCAGTGTGCATTCTTCGCACGCTGTTGCGAATGATCAATGTTTGGCACCTATACCTTTCTCGGTACGCGAGGAAACACGGGTTCTGCAACCGGAGGGCTTGTTTGGCGCCAGGGTGATGGTGGCCTGGGCGATGCGATGGCAAAATCCGTTTGTGCATGAAAACTGAGACCAGAGCCCAAGAAAGGTTTCAAAGGGACTCCAAATCGTGCTTCAGCTTCTTTCCCCCGCCTTTAAAAAACGGTCTTTCGAAAAGGCGCGTTTGTTCGCGGATAGGGCTCAGCTCTTCCAATGACGATTCATCCACAAAGCTGGGCTCAACTGGCACAGGTCTCCTTACGCAACTAATGGGGGTTCAGCCAGGGTTGCTGAGTGCTTGGCAGTATGCTATCATCAGGTAGAAGCACGCATGGTTGACTGGCAAACCCGACACAGCCTGCACAAAACATCTGTGCGTAGTATCCTTCTCAACCTTCGAAAACACCCGGCAGCATACTCTTCGGTAGCATTCAATACCTAATACTTAAACAAAAAAGGGAGGTTCGGGAAGACAAGTATGGAGCCCATAAACTGTTTTGGAGTCTGCCGTGGCGAGTTGAAATGCGCAGCGCGCGAAATCAAGTTGCTTAAATGATGCTGAGGGGGTGCGGCAAAATAGTCAATTGCATCACTTGGCCACACTCCTGGCAATCAGACCTCGACTTCCAAAAAAGCCACTCAGACTGAATCCCAGCATTCAAATGTCCCTGCCAAAGGCGTCGGGCCATACACCGCCCTGAAGAATGCAAGATGCAAAGCTATCAGAAAGCTATGGCAAGAAAGACATGGCTTTAAACTCTGCCATTCTGAGGCAGCTAAGGATTCGGCATTCTAGCCAGGTGGTCACCCAATTTTGGCCGGAAGATGAGACGTCTTAATCTAAGAAAGACCCAACACTAGGACATCTTTGGCCAGGAATTGGACACGTTTCCATTCCAGCCCCCAGCTCCACTCCGTTCCAGTTGAGGACCAATTTGCAAGGCTCAAGAGAAAAACCTTCCAAAAAAGGCCAAGCTGCTAGGGCATAAGGGTACTCCACTGCTCCGGCACGCCTGGGCGCGAAAACTGTGTCATATCTACTGGAACAGGTTAACCTCGGATCAATGCATGTCAACACACCGCTTCACCCGAACCCATCAGCACCCTTACAGGTTGCACCCTCCTGAAAGGTTCCCTCAACGTCCCTCAGACTCCTCGACACCAATTGTGCCACGGAAATGACATACAACAGCAAACGCAAAGGATTCCATGTGTATCTACCATGCCTTGAACGTTCGTTGTGCATATTTCCTCTATGATTGAACGCAGCGCAGTCACATGCCGTGTAGCTACCTCTTCCAAACAGAGAGCCGCTGAGCGACAGTCGCTGTACTCTAAGCGAATGCACACAGCAAGACCAAGGTGGACATGCAACGCTAATTACTTTCAACATTCCCGCAGACTGGTGCTCGACACAACGAACTCGCGCAAATAAATGAGTCATTGTGTCTTTCTTTCTCTCTCTCTGTCTCAGCAACCAACGGTTCAGGGTCTGGCCTCTAGAACATCCTGCATCAAAAAGCATACTCAAGTCACAACGGCAGGAGTCACACTAGAAAGCAGATCAAGTATTGTTCAGCTTTGGACCGCACAATCGGGTAACAGACAAGTCTCCCGAACAAGCAACAAATTCTGTTCTTGTGCAACGTCGCTGTTGCAAATGCACCTGCAGAAATGGTGCAGGCAAGTATCCTTAATGCCTCGGCAATGTAGGGGTACTCGTTCCTCAGCGACGCGGAGCCGATCATCAATACCGAACACAAAGGAAGCCAACGGTCCTGTGATCGATGTCGACATTGGCCAGCATTGCATGTTTCATTGCTGCTTACGCGAAGATAAACATTGCCAACAACCTGATAGTAAGCTGTAGTTTGCAAACTGGGCAGTGCACAGCCTGAAAAATGCGAAGCCAATCATCTCCCAAGCAAACGCCATGCAGACAAAGGTCCACTCCCAATCGTGGGTCAGCGTCATTGAACTCATCGCCTCGCCCGCCAGCTCGTAGAGAATGTACGAAGCCTGAGCGGCGCCATTTGCCCGCAAGCTCGCATGTCTATTTTGAGCATCCGCTCGAGCAAGGCTATGAGTCTATGAGGATCCCATTCGCAAATTGCGCGCAAAGCCCAAGTGTCATCATGTATCCTGGTTAAAAACCCGGAGCTACCCTGAGCATCCTGAGAACACTGTAGGATGCACAAGTACACCGTTTCAGTATTGCACCACAGCTGCATTGCATATCCGTCAATGACAACGCTCGAAAGCTACCGTGCCAGTCTTGCGATGCGTCAGTCTTACCCTGATGTAATGTCTCAGCAAAACCATAGGGCCGCCCTCACTATCCCACACCAGCAAACCGCCAAGGCTTTTTGCTAGGCTATCGCAGAACTAGTTCCTCCTAGCCCGCCCCAGAAACAGCCAGGCAAAGAGTGAGGCCTCTCTGACTTGCGAAAACTACTCATTCCTTTGCTTTGAGCCATCCCATCTAAGCGGTTGAATTGGCAGCCCGCGTTAATCGAAAAGTAATTTTGTCTGGTTCCTGCTCTTGTAAACCACTAATTGCTCTGCCTTTGGCCAAAAGCGAACTTTGGAAAGCACAGTAATATTGATCCCTGACCAGAAACTTGTCAGGCTAACAAAAAAAAGCTTGGCAGTTGCTCCAGAAGAGGGATGTTGAAGACAAGTAAATTCTGGGGAGTATTGGGGAGTTCTTGCGTATGTGTCACAGTATGGAAACACCTGTAAAGCCACCATTTGTCAAGGGAACCAGCACCATGGCCCAGAACTGAGCGGGTCATCAGGCCAGTGGAAAAGCCGTGTACTTGTGCCTGGGCTGTTTCCAATAGCAAAATCCACACCAAGCGCAAATGGTTCGGAAATGACGAGGCGAGCTTGGGAGGCCCCCTTTGACTCTGCCACTGCAAACCAAGAAGCCGAACTGAAGAGGTCTTGCATCCTGGGCAAGGAAAGAATGAGAGACAAGCTTGAATAGAAGCTCTACTAAAAGGCAAATAAATGGCAGCAGCAACAACTGCTTCACCGATGCCACCTGTGGCAAGCAAAGGAGCGCGATGGCAGGGCGGTTTTGTACCGGGGAGGAAGAATACGTGTGGAACGATGGGTGTCTGATTCAATTCATTGACCCCTCCAAAGCATGAAACTGAGATGCTGAATTGGGCTTAAACTTGCAGTCCCTCAATGCGGCCTTCCAAATCCAGCCTGACCTTCCACAAAACACGCTGGTTCCACAAAGTTTCTTTACCTCCCAAGTAGCACATTGAAATGCTGGTTTCGGACATGCGGCGTTCGAACTATTCGACCTTGATGCTGCCTGGATGAATAACTCCATCAGTACGCAACCATGTTCGGGCCACATGAAAAGGCTGTGCCAGTTGTCAGAAACTGGGCGACAATGCCTCCTCTTTACCTCTCATTCTGGTAGCGAGTACCCAAATGCTCATCTTGTCTTCGTTCCAAACGTCAAAGAGCAAACATACAGCTTGTACAAGGGATCTCAAAACGGTTGGTCCAGCTGACACCTTGGACCCTTGGGTTAGGCCGTTCATCTTCCAATCCGCAAGTGGTACTTCCAAGACTGAGGCGCAAAAACTGCTTACGGTGAGCCTGTTCGGACTAAGAAACAATCAGTCACGGTCAGACAGCTCAAAACCCACAGCTGACAAGAGACAACCCAATGTTCATGTATCTGAACATAATTGGCATGACACAACACATTGCCCGTATGCGAGTGATGTTTGCATTCAAAAAGGAATTCAGGCCCCATCCTTTGCTGACATCTCGTTGAACAACAGTCAAACACAAGTCATGGATTGCACGTTCTAGCACCGCAACCGCTGTCACCATCAGAAGAATATGCCGAGGCACGTAGAGTGGTGCATCAGAGCTGCACCCACCGAAGGAAAGCCGTGCTGCACCAGCTCGCTCTGCGGCACAAGCTTGAGTTCACTGGAATCAGTTGGCCCTCAACAGGGCATCCTCAAACAGAGTTCGTGAGTCAGTGTGTGGGTGTGTGCGTGTGTGTGTGCGTTTGGGCTTTGTTCTCACCCATAGCGCACAACCTTTCGGGCGGCCCTTGATTCATCCCTTTGAAACTCATGCTTTACGTGCCCTGAGTGCCCAGGTTGCTGCCGGCCATATTGGGTATCTGTGGAGCAGTCTTCTGCGTAGGCCTCTGCAGGCTGATGAATCACTTCAATGAGGTTGGTATTTGCACAACCATGCTTGTAGTATCTCATACTCACTATGTGCCTTGCGGAGATCAAGTGTGTAAGGGTTGACACCGGAAGGCCTGCGTTCTGGCTTGCACGGGAGGTTGTTGATAACATGAGTGGGCGGCCTATCTTAATTCCCAGTTGATAGTCCTCCTCTGGATCAGGACATGTCACCAATGACCCAGGCACGCCAAAGTGCTGACCGTAGTTCTGAAAATCACCATACATTCCATTCCATGATGTCTCTGTGTGTGTGGCCATAGTGATGGCCCCAACACTCAACACCAGCTACTCTTTTCGTACTGTGCTTTTAATGCAGTGTGTCGCCGCACTGAAGCACCAGATCAGAAGCTATGCTCTCATCATACATAATTCGATCGAGGCACCGAGTCATCCACTTCGATCCACTCTGCTTTCGTCTGTGGCACCTGAGCAAACGCATGGCGTGCCATGGGCGTTGCTGGGCGTGACTACCAGGGTTGGGGGCAAGCAATCTCGCGGCCCGACTCTTCTCAGATAGAGGGCTGGCCCACTGTTGCACTTTAGAGGACTGCCTAACAACCTGGAAACAGCCATGTTACAACCATCCCTCCAATGCAATATGCTAATTCAGTTGTACCCAGTCAGTAAGCAGTAAGGAGAACTGGCAAGGCCCCTAAGGTAAAGCATAAACCATATCCGAGATGTTGCAAGACAAGATTCTAAATGCCCAACTCGCAAGGGCCGCTTCCTGCGAGAATGGCTGAACCATGCTACATCAGCACAAAGCGCCTGAATGTTTCTTGTGCTCACTTTTGGTAGGGCACAGCTAAATTGCATGCCCTGCCCCAAACTAGGGAGCCGCAAGCGATGCGTCAGCCTGAGACTCCCGGCAACCATTTCCACAGGCTCCATCATGGGCATCGGCGACCTCGCAAACAAAATATCCGCAAGGCGGGCAGCAAGTCCATCACACCAGAATGCCAAACATGAAATATCATATCAGAGTGTGTGTGTGTGTGTAAGCGCCTGAGATTATATGATGGGCAATCCCCGTGTGTGCCAAATACTCTGCCTTCACAACTCAAGTGAGACCAGCAAAATGGTCTGCCTCACTCAACATTCGCTCAGATCTCCGACTATTAAGTCTGAGTGGATAACCCTTTGCTGTTTCCAGTCACAAACAAAGTAGAGTACGTGGAATTCCGCCTCCTCCATCCCACAAACGGAATTGTAAAGACTTACAGCAGCTGAAACAACAACTACTCTATTGTTGGCATCTCTGCACCACTTCAGCCAATCACCTACCACAGAAAAGGCGAGGGCATGATAAAATGGCGAATCCCGGAATGCTTCGTGGTATGGCGTCATACTTTGTCCACCAGCTTGCTTTTATTATGACCCTTGCTTAAATGTTCTTGGCGCATGGGGACTCATTGGTGATGCTGCTCGGTGAATGCTCATCCCATGAGACCTCCCGTAGCAGTCATTGCAGTCTTGACGTGGCCAAACGTACAACTTGAAAAACAAGATGCCCGTGCTGGTCTCTTTATCAGATCACGCTGCGTGCCTACATTGGCAGTAAAATTACGCAAGCTTGACAGGGACTTCAATCACAACATGTCATGTGCCGTGATCAAAGCTGGGCTAGGCGCATCAATTCGTTGACCCTGCTGCATCGACTGAATGTTGCCAGCCCTGTAAGCCCCTCAGACCCCAACCACGACTTGGACGCGCATCGAGAAATCATACCAACCTCGCTCACCAACCCACACACCACAGTCTTCTCTGAATATGGGGCCCCGACGGCCCGCCAAGCCTCAGCTCGGTCTCCCACCTTCTGATCTGAGACATGCGGATCGTCCCTCAAAAATGCTGGATGTGACACCATGAACGAGTGCCCAAAACACGGACCAAACATGAGACCTTATGGGACCCTGTTAGGAGCCAATCGGGCAGGGAGCCCTTTAGAATTCTGCATTGCATCGCGCTTCAAACTGTTGGCCAAACGCTTGGATCTCCATCCACAATATTCCTGCGCCAAACCTCAGGTTCTCAGTTCCAGGCGGCATCCACGGCTTGGCGGCGGTCCTCAGCGAACATCTGGTGGACAAAGTGCAAGTCAAGCACTTGAATCAATCGGAGGGAATTCGGAGGCCTGCCGCGTTGTTCTTTTTGGTTGGCTACGAGTAGCTGCTGCAATGTGGTTGGCATGATGCACAGTTGCCATATCCAAGAATGTGAGAGCGTGCTCTGTCGCTTTCCTCAAGATGTTGCCACGTTGCCTGGGGGACCAGATAATATATGAACATATGAAAAGCACCGTGTTGAATCAAGAGTTCTGCAAGCGCAGCATCTGGTGAAGCAGTTGATGGTCTAGCAAGTCTAGAACTCACCATATCCTGCAATCAGTGTGCACTGCTTGCTGACATGTGTACTGTGCAAACAAAAAAACACTAGAATATGCAATTCCCATTGATGCGACAAGTGCGACCTTTTGCTTAACATCTACTGAATCCTCCTACATGTAGGGGACACGCATCAAGCTATGGGTCCGATCAAACAGGGGAACACTAGGTAAAAATAGTGTCTTAAAACATTAAGCCTGAAGCTGCCCAAACAATGGTGACATGACAAACCCAACCACCGACACAAATCCGGCAACAACTCCTGAGCCAATGTCTTTGCACCCGGCTGGGTGGCTGAGTCGCTTCTTTCAAAAAATCCAGACAACTCGTTTGGACCACATAATGCGCATTCACCGATGCTCACTTGAAGTCGACAAACTTGAAATCCCTGTGAACAAACGCAACCATTTCTCGAACACATGCGGCATATCATTTGGGGGTTTCAAATTGGCCTCTGACTGCCCAGTGGTGTCCAAAGAGGGTTTCCCAACGATAATGACGGGAACAAACCCAAAATGCCGCCACAGGCACAGAGTTCGCCGTGATATGCAATATGATCTGGTTGGATTTTCAAACCACAAGAACGAACCGCCGAGGGGGTGATGTCGGGGATTTATGCGCCGAAGGATCTTGACGCCTTGGGACCATCACCAAGTTGGATGGTTAGCTGTGAGGCCTGGACTTGTAAGTCTAGGATCAACCCCAGAACCCTCCGTGAAACCTAGCCAACTGGCTCAGAACCCAATCCTTGGAACAGTACTTGACAACCGTTCCATACCACCCTGATGCAACCGCCACGAAATCTGCTCCGGGCTAACAAATGGTTTTGAGGTCGTGCAACCGAAAGTTCGCCGAGGGGTCACTTTCAAGAGCCGGCAACTTCCAGAAGCCAACCAGGAATGCGCAGAGGGGTTCGGTTTGCAAAAGCAGTGTTTTCCCCAAAACGTATACACTAAGGGGTTCTTGGGGCGATGCGCTCTCGCTGCTCATTTTTCGGCTTTTGCTGGCAGGGCCAACATTTACGGGCGCCGGCTTGGAAACCTCGCGCGAAACGAGTTTGTTTGATGAAAAGTGCATATTTGATGGTAGGGACCTGGCCCGCCGAGGCTCTCACTGCGGCGAGGGGTCACGCGGCGGTGTCGTCTTGTCAGATGAGGCTACGACTCTTGGACAACGGAGCTCTAAACGCAAAAAGTTGTCTGCGTGCGACAGCTTCGCATGAAACGGACCTTTCTTCGAACCTGCACGCTCGCTGTGGCGCCGCGCCAGTCTTCGGATTGTGCCTTGACGGCTGGGTTCAATGTCCAGAGCAGCATTCTGTGAGACTGGCATGCGTTGATCGTGGTGGGCGCAGTATGCTTTGCGCTGATGCTGTGGGTTGCGTGGCAAGCGCAGCATTGCAGAAACTTCGTCTGTGAATTTCGTGGCAGGCGCAGCGCTTCGCTCATTTGCAAGCGCTGCACGAAACTGATCCCTGCGGGGATCGCTCGTGTCGACGCGCTCTCGCTGCCTCTGCGGACATTGCGCGTTGAAGCGCTCTTGCTGCGGCGCCGCGCCCATGTGTCTTGAGCTTGGCGAACCCTCTGCGAAGGTTGCGCAGTTGCGCTCGTCGAAGCGCTCTCGCTGCGGCGCCGTGCGAGTGCGTCTCGGGCACGGCGAACCCTCTGCGGAGATCGGGCGTGTCGAAGCGCTCTGGCTCTCAACGAACCCTCCGCGGAGATCGGGCGTGTCGCCCTCTGCGGCGATCGTGCGTGCAGCGCTCTTGCTGCACCGTGCAATGTGTCTCGGTCGTGGCTGCGGCCGCAAAATCGCAGCTTGCACATGCAGGTGTGAAGTCGCAACTTTAAGTGCAAATAGTACGCGAAGCACACTCCCGCAGCTCCGGCTACGTGCAAATTTGGCGCTCGAAGCGCGCGCGCCTCGCAGCTCCAGCTCGAAAATCACAAATGTTAAGCGCGAAAGCAATGTTCGGAAAGCGCATTCTCGCGTCTCCAGCTCGCAACTTCAAGGTGGGCAGCACGCGAATTGCACTCCCGTATCTCCAGCCCTAAAAAAAGCAACTTGCATAGGGCAAAAGTTGTAGTTCCACCGAAACGAAAACCGCCAGCCAAGCAGCATGGAAGGTTGGGCAAGAGACCATCATGCACAAGCATCGCGCGCAGCATTGCGCACGGAGTCGTGCTCGAAGTCGGGCGCAGCATCATGTACGACGTCATGCGCAGCATCATTCGCAACATCACGCACAACGTCATTCGCAACATGAGGCGGAACGTCACGCGTAGCTTCACGCGCGGCAATAGCATTGCGCGCAAGAGAAGCTGTCAGGAGAGATTGTGAAGCATGATGCTATAAGCTTGCTCGTCAGAACTTGCAGAAGCATTGCTTGAGCAGAGACGTTGAAGCGTTTACGTTTTGCTGCTCATCTGGCCGGGGAGGTGTCAGAGCTTATTAAACGTGTTTCTATGCTTCCGGGCCACCGGTCGTCAAAGTAAGCCATGCCGGGTAATCAGGGTTGACCAGCCGAAAGTGCGCAGAGGGTTCACTTGGCAACTTCGAGAACGCAAAAACAACCGTTTGGGACGTATCCGCCCAAAGTGCGCAAGGGGTTCACTTTATCCTCAAACACAATCACGAAGTTGGTCATCGCACGGCACCACAATTCGGCGTCTGCCAGGCAAGGCGCAAGGCCAGCTGGGGCATGCCTCCAAAGCCTGGCAGAGACGGCTTCTCCCCGCCGCCATTCATGCCCAACAGCAATGTTGGGGTCTCTCTCGCTGGGGTAGAACGGTTGTAGAATGGCCCCCCCTTCCCGTCGCAGAGTGCCCACGCCGCTTCTTTCTGGCTCCATTTCAGGGTGGGCTGCGACCCCTTTTGCACAAACCTGGACCCCTTTGAGAAGCAACTTGCATAACGGTCAGCGTTGCAGGTGTCACCTCATGTTCCTAGGTGAACCTCTTGCACAAAGGTTTGCAAAACCTGATTGGAGCGCCACGTGTCACAAGTACGAAGTCGGGCTATAGTGTTGTCCAGCTAGTCGAGGCGAGCCAAGGCGAGAAAACAAGTTCGGTGGGAACCCTACGTTTGCCCGCCGCCGTAATTCGGCCGCTTCCTCAGGATTCCACCTGCTTGCCCGGATCTTCACCATAGAGCCACTGAGCTTTGTCATAACTGAACGCATCTGATGGAGAGATTGATACGATGCCCTCACTGTACGCTAGCCTATACATCTCAGGAGCGCGCCAAACAGAGAACAGGCCTGCCTCGACTGCGGAGGACTGAGCGGCAACTGACTTCCTGGCCTTTTGCTTCCAACCTCCGCCCAAAGCACCAACCCGCCGAGTGACCCGCTTCACAGCCCCGAGCAAATTCTCCGCCACGTTATCACCAGCAGCGCGTGTGAAGTGCTTCTTGTAATTAGCTCTTGACTGCTGCGTGCTTGGGCTTCGCCTTCTTCTCTAGCCAGGAGCGGGTCGGCTTCTCGAGGTCCGTCTTACGCAAGGCAGTGCTTGGTTGGGGTGAACAGGCGCTGCGCATGCTTGACGCCCGGCAGGTGTGCCCTCTCGGTGGCATTGGCAGCTCCGGCCCATGCGCGAGCACCATCTCTTGCCAAGATGGTTTTCTTTCCCGTGGCAGCTGTGATTGGCGGTGTCATCCTGCGCTGTCTCCGGACCAAGTCTTCCCTTGGTGGCTCTGTTGTGGAGGACCCGGCAAAGCCATCTGCACGCAAACCGTTCCACCATGGCCAAGGTGCGCCCGTAGTTGGCAGCGCGGACTGTCCGCCTTGCACAAACTTCCGCCTCTTCGACCTGAACCTGGAACTATCTGCCTCGACCATATCTGCGCTGAAGACCTGCTGGTCAGCCTGCACGAAGTTGGACCACGCGAGGCAGAGCTTGAGACGGTCGTAGTGGTCCTCCACTTTGTGACAGGCCGCCTTCCAGCTGTCACCGGGGCGACGGCACATGTGAGCTGCGCTGTCATTTGGCAGCTTGCAGCCGAGACAGTAGGCAGCCCTCAGCAAAGCTTGGAAATCTTGGTGAGTTCCACCCTTCGCAGAGTGCCATAAGGGTGTGCAGGGCTGTGTGGCAAAGTCATTCGACACCGCGAAGGACATGCTTTCCCACCGCTGCCGGAAGCCGCTCTTTGCTAGGATGCGCTTCCAGCGCTTGAACGTAGCCGCGTGCTCATCGCGGGGCAAAACCCCGTGCTTGACCAGGAAGCTCTTGGCATCATCTTGTGACAGGTGCAGTATCTCCTCGAAGGAAGGCTGGTCAACATCTTTCAGGGCTTCACCCGCAAGACACTTGCTGACCCGGCTTCTGCCCAGAGTTGAAAGCGCGATTACCCCCATTTCTTTGGCTGCTGGAGCTTCTTTTTTGCCAGTCAACGGCGGCACCTACTCTTTGGGGATCTTGAATCTGGCACGGTTGACGCGGGGTGGTCTGGGAGGCACCTCAAGCTGCTGTTGGCTTGGGGCAGGCTGAAAGCGGTGCCAGCGCTGATCTCGCCACTGGGGTCAATGCCGTGGAGCCTATCCGACGAAGGCGTCCCCGCAGAAGTAGGCTCCGTGTCAACTGCTGGCGAACTGGAGAGGCTGGCAGCCAAAGCGGTCACCTGGAGAGCAGTTGCAGTGGGCGAAGGTGTGGCCTCTCGCAGCCAACCAGCTCTGTGCTGTCTTGCCCACTGCGCCCAAGCGTAGGCAAAGAGCTGTCGCCGGAGTTGTTGGATCAAATTTACGAAACCCCATCCTAAACATCTCCCCGAAGCCCGAAACCCCCCCATCCTAAACTGTGAGTTGCATGTCTTCCCCCCACCCCGAAACCCGAATCCCCCCATCCTAAACTGTGAGTTGCAGGTCTTCCCCACCCCGAAACCCGAACCCCCCCCCCCATCCTAAACTGTGAGTTGCAGGTCTTCCCCCCACCCCCGAAGCCTGAAACTGTGAGGCGCAGGTCTTCCCCCCCCACCCCGAAACCCGAACCCCCCCCATCCTAAACTGTGAGTTGCAGGTCTTCCCCCCCCGCCCCGAAACCCGAAACCCCCCCATCCTAAACTGTGAGTTGCAGGTCTTCCCCACCCCGAAACCCGAACCCCCCCCCCATCCTAAACTGTGAGTTGCAGGTCTTCCCCCCACCCCGAAACCCGAAACTGTGAGTTGCAGGTCTTCCCCCCCCACCCCGAAACCCGAAGCCCCCCCATTCCTAAACTGTGAGTTGCCGGTCTTCCCCCCCACCCCGAAACCCGAAACCCCCCCATCCTAAACTGTGAGTTGCAGGTCTTCCCCCCCCACCCCGAAACCCGAAGCCTAAACTGTGAGTTGCAGATCTTCCCCGTCTCAGCCCGAAACCCGAAGCCCCCCCCAACCTAAACTGTGAGTTGCAGGTCTTCCCCCCACCCCCGAAGCCTGAAACCCCCATCCTTAACCGTGAGTTGCAGGTCTTCCCTGCCCAGCCCGAAACCCGAAACCCCCCCATCCTAAACTGTGAGTTGCAGGTCTTCCCCCCCACCCCGAAACCCGAAACCCCCCCAGCCTAAACTGTGAGTTGCAGATCTTCCCCCCGCCCCCACCCCGAAACCCGAAGCCCCCCCCCCCATCCTAAACTGTGAGTTGCAGGTCTTCCCCCCACCCCGAAACCTGAACCCCCCCCCATCCTAAACTGTGAGGTGCAGTCTCCCCTCAAAAGCCAAAAGCTCCCCATCTTAAAGCATGAGTTGCCCCAAAGCCAAGTCACCTCGCAAGCGTGCCAGAGTGATACAGACTGGCAGCTGCACAACCTGCGCCTTCTCCGTAGGGTCAAGGTACACTTGCACCCAGCACCATGCGGGGTAGAACCCTTGACGACTCAACATCTGCGAACAGTTGCGCACCTCTCAGAAAACCTCATGCATGGATCACAAGAACGTCACGCCTGTGCGGCAACATGGACCCTAGGTGACAAAAGCCACGGAGCCTAGCTGACAAAAACCTCACGTCTGTGCGGCAATATGGACCCTAGGTCACAAAAAGCTCGCGCCTGTGCGGCAATATGTTGCCTAGGTCACGAAAACCTCACGCCTGTCACAAGGTGGGCGAACGTAGGGGTCCCTGGGAACAAGTTATACTGCAAGAGCAAATCCACCCATGCACTTTTTTGCAATTGCGACAGACATTTCTGCCGCAACGAATCCCTGGTATGGGCGCAACTGCAGGGGAAATTGCACGTTTTGGCGTCGCCATATGGCACCTTGTGGTGAGTCCACCGCACTGCGCAGGCAAGGTCATCTTTCCATTGCAGCTGTTGTCGGAAGCCTAAAAACCATCACCAATGATTCAGGAATTATGTGTCGTGCCCAGTTGTACCTGTATATTCACCAACTGAAAAATAATGGGTCCTCAAGCAATGTGCCAAATCACAGGACCAGGACCCTTCACAAATGGAGTTGCAGATCCCATTCCTGTCGCCTTGCAAGCCACTTTCAAGGCTGCTGATCTTGAGCCACAGCCGGCAAACACCCAGCGAGCACCATCAATGGTACACTGGCCGGACCCGCCTTGAAATCCGCCTGCCCGCACACGGAAGCTGATCTGCCTGTCCATGCCAAGCTGACAAATCTGAACGGAACCAAACAAGTTGAACAATGCATCTGACCACATCCAACGCCTGATTGTTGAATGCAACTCCATGGAGATTCTGTCAGGGTCTTAGGGTCTTAACATGGGGTTAGCATGCGCAAACTTGTCTACTTTGTACTTTGTCCTTGATCCAGTAAAAACATGAGAAAGCAAATGCCTACATTCCTCAGACTCAAGCCCCAAACAGAGTCGAGAGAATCCTTTGATGTTTCGGGCCTGAGCTCAGAACCTCCAACGAAAGCAGGCAGGAAAGCAACCAGGCAGGCAGGCATTCAGGCAAGCAGCCTGCAAGCCATTAGGGCAAGCAGGCAAGCAAGCAAGCAAGCAAGCAAGCAAGCAAGCAAGCAAGCAAGCAAGCAAGCAAGCAAGCAAGCATTCAAACAAGCAGGCACAGGGCCGCTTGTTCATGCGGGATTCCACCAACTAAAATAAGTATCCCATTGGGCAAAATGCGCGTTCCCGGAACCCTCCTGGAACCTGTCGCGGGCCGTATGCTAAGATCGCAGCTGTCTATTGGGAAACAACACGCTGTCACAGCTGGTGCCCATGGCAATGATTCTCACGCTTTCAAGTTTCAGCACGCAAAACCACAAGGGAGCAAGTGATTATTTTTCAGCACAAAGGCAAGGAATGGGATACATCAAAACCAGAGGAAACCAACAACGAGGCATGGTGATTTGCGCCAAGCAAGTTCAAGACCCGATGGGGATGTTTAGCAGGGTGCAGTGCAGCTGCGGAGAGAATTGGAGGGAGCACAAAGCCTTTCCGCCGTGGAAACATCCGTGGCACGTGATTGGCCAGGAAGCCCTGGTTGTTTGCAAGCTGTGAAGAAAATACCACATGTGAAGAATCCTCGTCGTCCTAAAAACAACATGTCGGCTTCTTGCCAAGTTGCACTGGGCTGGCCGCCACGCCGGTCATGCCATTGATGCCGTTCGTGCCGTGGGCGCCATTCTCCCGCCAAGCCCCCCTGTTAGCAAGGGACCCGACATTGAGTGGGCCAGATCGCCTAGAGAATGTCAGTCAAATTTGGCACACCCATGCTAAGGAACGCTTCTGGTGGTGCGAAAGCACACGGCTTTCAAATGACCATGCCTCCGGCACGAGCTAAACAAACAACATGAATCATGCCTTCTGTATATATGCAACGTATATAATCACACATCCGCGCAATACTGCGCCGACAACTTGCGATACAACCCAGGATGGTAAATTCAACTGAATGCACAAATGCAAGCGCGCACGCAGGCTACTCCCTGTCCAGGTGCACACTTGCTCCCATCTTCCCATCCATTGGCAGAAGTTAAACGAGTACTTGAACATCAGGCAAAAGTTACACACGACGGCGGAAGGTCCCAAGGAAGGCACGCATGGAGCGAATCTGGTAAGGATTGAAATGTTTGTGCCGTTTTTGCAAGTGGAATGACTGGTTTCTTCACCCATGTTTGCCGTCAAATGCGGGTGCCAGGTGAAACCCGAGGAAGTGGGGAGGCGGGAAGGGGCGAGAGGGGTTAGAAGGAAGGGGCGGAAGGCATGGACGAGTTTGAAGGAGTGGAAGGGTGGCTTCTGCTTGTGTTGGTGCAAACCTCAACTATCGACATAACATTTAACGATCGCAAATAACAAGTTGCTCCTGATGTATAACATTTTGCAAGTTACAAACTACAAGTACAAAGAGAGAAGGTGACCTCGGATCTTGGCTATTTGATGGCCAGGCGAATCAGTCACTCGGCAAGCCTTGGCAAGGCTGGACTCTGTGTTGGCTTCGGCCTCCGCGGTCGGCGCCGTGAAGTGTGAGGCTTGCGTGCGTGGGTGCGTGGGTGCGTTGCTCTTGTTTGCATCTTTGTCTTTGTGACATGATCACGTATACATATATACAGCATAATATATAGAATATACCTTCGGCAAAGATATGCATGTCTGGCCTACATCATGTATTGCAAACCTCACTGGGTGGTTGCGGGAAAATCACACAAAGCCCCTGTTTCGACAGCCCAGCTCTGGCTGGCTGACCATGTGCCGGAAGCAACACTGTCAAATATGTCTTGCTGCAAAACCTATGTCCTGAGCCAGCGCAAGGTGCATCCTTCCTACATACAATAGTCGGCGCAGGGTACAGTAAGGGCTGGCCAGTGTCCCTTGTGTAGGCCAGGTGTCCTCAACAGGAACCCTGTTAACAACTTGTGGAGGTTTGACCCATACCTTCCAACCCAAGTAACAAGTTGATTTGACCGCACTTTGGCGTGCATGAGAAACTGTGTCTTTGCAGAAGATTACAACGACATGCGAACACCCAACACCGGGTCCCTTGGGTTGATGCATGCCCAACTCTGTCTGGCAAGCCTTGAGAAGTCACCAGCCGCTTTGGGTCCACTCGTTCTGAGACCTTGCAACTCTCCGAACCATAAGATCCATCAGGTCCCTTGAGGAGAAACTCGGTATTCAAGGAGCTTCCAGTTGCATCTATTCAGGTGTACGCATGGTGGGAGCATTTGCAGCCCTCAGTGCTCCCAGCCGGACTGCCTGTGAGGCGCACCTGCGCAAAGACAATGCATTCGATCAAGTCAAGGGTCGGCCGGTACCACACATGCTCAGACCATGGCTTGGGATCATGCTTCGGTAGATTTGGGATCATGCCTCGGTAGATAACGGTAAAGTAAGGTAACCAGGTGTCTGGTCCCCTTTCACAAACACCTCTTGTGACATTTGCCTTTGGGTTCTCTTGAAAGAGCGGCTGGTCTGATTGTCGCAGCCAGTTTGCCCAACCCTTTGCATTAAAAGAAATACACCCGGGTCGCAGTTGTTTTCAGACACGCCCCGGAACAAGGAGCTATATATATATATACATTAAAGCCCTGGCATAGTAGCAGGGAGCTTGACCACGCGGATTGAGACATCCCAAGCAGAGTGTCGTGTAGCACCAAGGTCGCACTTTCAAACTCCGGTATACACCAGTTGTCTGATTCTTGCGAAAACTGATAGGATTGCATTAGCAAGGTCTGACGATCTCTATCCAACATGCAACAAAGGGCCTTTCCCCACTGTTTGACATGGAACAATATGTGTCTAAGCACCTAAAAGGCCATCATGTCTTGACCCCGTCATGGGACTATGTGGAGTCTCGTTGAGGTCATAGCTTCAAAGAAATCTAACCCGAAGGATTCTTCTCTGTACCCAGACTGTTTATTCAAACAAACAAACGGAGCTAGTGCGGAAGACGCGCGTATTTGACCCCAAACAAGGAATGACGAGGCCACTAGGCGGCCCCTTCTGCGCAAGCCTTCCCAGAGTCTTAGGGAGACTTAGGGACGTCAGTTTGGGAGGATAGCACTAGACCCGCAGGCTGCCGCAAAATGATTGCGATCCTTCCAAATGCTTGCTTTCTTGTTGCTTTTCCGTTGGCTTGCTTGAGAAGGGGCTTACCCAACATCCAACGTTTGACAAATTCCATCTGGCAATGTAGCCGCTAGCTTGATTTTGTTGCGGTCTCTACAGTTGGCAGCTGAAAGTGAAATACTGTAGCCTTGCCTTCACCAACGTGCTTTCTGTCCACCTCCACGCGATGATTAGAGCCATTGTTTTACAAGTGGCCTGCGTGTATACTATATATGCATATGCACACGTATGTACGTCACATATTGTATAATCATGTATATGATTCGAAGAAACAAATTCATTGAGCCCAATGTGAGACGATTGCTAGAAAAATTGCAACACACTCATTTTGAAAAGTAGGTTTGACCCGTCTATTGCTTGCCTCTGGGCTTAACATGGTCAACACTCCTTTTTGCTGGCTACAGGACTCGTTGGCGGACGTTGGCTTGTATGCCACAAGCGGTACCGTTGAAACCCCACGCCTCCGGCTGAAGACGGCCCCGGCCTGAACACGACAAGAAAGGGCCCGACCCACATCCGAGCGAGAAGCAAGGAACATGGCAGCTCTTCCCGGATTAGGCACGGCAATTTCAATCGAACAGAATACAACTGAGTACAGGAAGTAAAGCATCAGTTTGCTGATCAAGAGAAGCATTGAAACTGACACATTTAGATGCGAACGCTGGCCTGCGTTATCTCAATGAGGGGCAAAGTGGGTTCCCATGCCTGCAAAGGAAACAAAGCAGAATACAGATTAAGAACCCGTCGGCAGGAAGACTTTACCAGGAGAAACAAAGCGGTAGCATCACCTGCACAGCAGCAAGTTGGAACATTGTCTATAGCGCCCCCAGCAAATGGTGCTTGCCACAGATGCACGCCGAAAGCTGTTGCAGCCGAGGGAGCCATTTATTCATGTGTGCCACACCGTGAGACCCCACGAAACTCCACCCGCGCCCAAAGCCAGTGGTGAAACAAGGTGTAAGAAGGTGTAGAAAGGCCTGCTAGCAGCACCAACAAATCAAACATAAGCTGGATAGAGGCGAACTTTGCCGAATCAAGCCTAACTAAAGTTAACATCAACAGGCAGCTCTCGAACCCTACCCAAGACAATTGAACTCTCCGGCCAGCAGGTGCGCGATCTCGCCCTGAATGACTACAAAAACGGGCCAACTCAGCCTCTTCCCAAAGAAAATTCGTCGGCACTCAAGTCACAAGGCCTCTTTCCCTCTTTCTGTGCGTTCCATGGTCTCATGGTCTGCGTGAGCCTTCCAACACTAGCACATTCAAAAAAGAACTGTAGCGGAGGCACCTCTCAAGGTGCGCTTTGGAGACTCCAGCGATTCCGCAGCCAAAACCGAAATGGGGGCAACCAGGCAAACATGTTCGTCGGGACCCCCAGCGCCTCGAAGCCGTCATGGCCGCATCCACTCGCGCAATGCCGGCTGGGAGAACTCGCCCGTCCAAGCCCGCTGGACAGGACAGGCCGCTCAAGCACTTTGGTTTGTTGAGGTTGCGGATTGTTACCAAACAGCACAACGACAATCAAGCATTGCTGGTTCCCAACCCCCTTCTTGTTTTAGAGCCAAACAAAATGCTGCGATCGAATACTGGTCCAATATCCTTGGCCCCAATAGCGACGTCTTGTTCGCAGCACTTTGCAAGGCTTGAAAGACACTTGCAACTTGGCTCGAAAATTCCCATCATGCCCTGTCGTTATGTGTATGACATATGCTGTGTGAGCCAGAATTGCCATATCTCCCCATCATTCTTTGCTCGTCTACTCTTTCGACTGATCTGCCAGCTTGGCTCTGTTGTACGGTGCACACAAAAGCTAACGCTCTGAGCAGTTGCGAGATGAGCGCGCAGGACAAAGATCTCTGCAACTTGTTCTGCAGGGACTCGTCAAAGCATCCTGTCACGGCGATATCACCCCATGTTGCTTGCTCTGGCTATGGGTTGTGGGGCGAATCAACATCAACCGGGTCGAATGCCTTCGCACAGGATCACAACATCTCCTGAGAAGCGTTCAAACCAATGCTGAATAATCATGGTGTGGCAAGAGTCTGCTTGCGTTACGCGGCTACAAATTGCAACGCCAACCTCTTGATGAAGAGCAAAAAGAAACCTGAACACCCCTTAGTTGTTGCTTGAAGCTAAAGGCAACAAACAAGGGCACTTCTCTCACTCCCTGCGCTACAAGCGCTGGACAATGCTGGGGATCTGCAGGACCCAACGGTCTCAAGTTTCCATGTGGCAGCTGAAATGGCTCCCTGTATGGTGGCTCCCAAATGGGCAAGTATGAACCAACCTGCCCTGCTTTGGAGTGGCTTTGTTGAGCTTGCGGGCAACCTAGCACACAGGGGTTGTTGCCCTCCATGGCACCTCTCGCTGGCAATCTCCAGCCCCCAAGGCGCCGGGCGGTCACAGAGCGGCGCTCTCCAATGGGTCGCCACTGGCCAATGAGGGGCAATGCGGCAATGCGGCAGTGCGGCGACACCAAACACCGAAAGGCCCATGCCAAGTCCAATACGTGCCACCTGCATGGCAAATAAATTACGGTATAGGCACCAGCAGAAACCAGCATGCTCGCTGCGACTCACTCGCTCGCTCACAGTGTGCAGGCTGAATGAGACGTGCCTTGTCAAGTCTTTCAATGCAGACTGATGCCTGAATAATATTTTCCGATGTTTTCCGGCCCAGCTATATCCTCGACAAGCGACTGTTTTTTACAGTGTCATAATACTGGTAGACAAGACTTCTGCCCGAAACACACACGCAACTTTGTGATGAACCCTATGCTTCAGGTCGATATTGTTTCAAGTTGCCATCCGCATGGTAGACAGCCCGACCCCCAACAGCTGCAAAAGCACAGATCATTCTCCGATGGAAAATGTCGACCAGCTGTCGGCCAGCATGGAGAACAGCACAACATTTGCCTCTTGCATGCATTAGGAATCCCCAGGTCATCGATGGTTGCTTGGCTCTTGAAACTTGCTAGATACAGAGTGTCCAATTCAGAACAGCAATTCCCTTCAGACTGACTTGTCGGGGCAGCTACCCTCTGAGTAAGGGTCGGGATTGACCAATTTCAGGGGGCCTCCCACATGACTGGCAAGGTCCTCCGGATGAACCTGAAGTGAATCTCAGCGGGGCTGTCCAAAGCTCTCGGTTCAAAAGTTGGAAGCGTCACTTGTCAACGCTGCCTGCCGAGTTTGCCGAGGCCTCGGTGGCCAGGGTGAGCAGCAGTGGGAAGGCTGCCCTGGCGCGAAAGAAGCGCTTACGTTCCCCGAGGTTTGTACCCTCCGCAGCTGACACTCCTATTGATTTGCTAAAGGTGACATGTTCAAATTGCGGAACAGTCCTTGTTGGATCTCATTACTACGCAAGCGAAACATATCATGGTGGCTCTGCTGGCGTGAATCCGATCATAGCCCAGGATTCTCAACTGGACCTGTCGCTGCCGATTTAAGCATCATGTCAAAAGCTGCCAATAGTTGGGATTGGTGCCTTGGATCCGTATGCACCTAGCACAAATTCTACGGAAACTTGCAGGAGCATCCTGGATCTATTGGGGTGTGAACAGAAGCCCCCAGCGCTCGTTGGTGCAGAAATGCAGCCATTAATCATGTGGGCTTGCAGTTGAAGACGTGGCCAACACAAAACAGGCAACCAAATGCCAGATGAGCTCTGTGTTGCAAACTGGGCCAATACTGTGCGGCGCAAAGCGACGCCTTGCGAACCAAAGACAAACCTGCCGAAACAAGGAAAGCTGACAACGCCCTCATGTCCATTCCTGGTTTAAGGGGCCGGTATAGCGTCAGCCCTTTTCCGCTTGAGTTCGGAGAGTATCGTCGAGTAGGATAAGCATGCCAAACAGCTCAAAATGACCCCAAATGGAGCAGACACATGATGTCCTGGCAACCACATCTAACTCTTTGGAAGCCGTCCTTCATGAAAGAAGCGTGCTTTGTGGGTGTGTGCAAATCTCCTTTGACCTGCTCAGTATGTCAAGCAGCTCAGGAAATCAAGGCAGGTATGCCCTTCCCGTGCCGAGGCGCGGATGCCCTGGGCGAGCATTTACATGATTCAAACGATTGATACATCCAAACTGTCCCTTGTTAGAGGGATGGCATCAGCCTTTGAAACAATCGCCATGTCCAAACCGCTTCAGCCCTCTGCCATTTCATTTCAACAGGAGTAAACACATGTCCAGTTCTTGAGAGTGCCATCGCGGGCCGGTATTAAAGGATGACAATTCGACATATTAGCCGCACCAAGGATGCCATTGTGGGTGCCAAATGGACAAGATCAACAGAGGCCAACTTGTGGCTGACCATCACACAACATTAACCTGATCCACCATCTTTAGACCAAAACTTAGCCTCTATCTCTGTGGAGGTTAAAACCGGCCAATAGTCATGTAACAAACCACGTCACTCTTCATGTAAGTATTCATGTAAACAAAAACAGGCCTTAAAGAAACACGTAAAAGATCATGTAAACAATGTGTGCCTCAGTGTTGGAAGCTGGAAGCTGCATCATTTGCCATGTAACAGGCCTGAACAGAGATAAAAGGCGCACAATCAGACAAGCCAATGGCAAAACATTGGCACAAAGAAGGTAAGGGAAGGTAGGCTCCAACGCACCCCTCCCATCTCCATAACAAGCGCCCAAGGTGTTGATTGAATGATAATTGTTAAATCCTTAGCAGCTGCCGTGCGAATGTTAGGAGGCCAAACATCTTAAGTCTTAAACACGTGGTTGGTAAGCCTAAGCATGCGTGAGCAGAAGCAAGAGCAATTCCTGAGCATGCTGTTGCAATCTTCGGAATGGTTCCTAGGTACGCAGCTCCAATGTCTCCGAACGGTTCAGAACGGTTCAGGGTATGATGCTGCAATCCCTCCTGAACGGTTCAGCACGGTTCAGGGCATGCTGCTTGCAATTCTTCCTGAACGGTTCAGAACGGTTCAGGGTATGCTGCTGCAATGACTGCTGAACGGTTCAGAACGGTTCATAGTATGATGCTGCAATCCCTCCTGAACGGTTCAGAACGGTTCCTGGGAAGCTTGAGTGACGAACGGTTCAGAACGGTTCAGAACGGTTCTGAACTATACGCCTGCTCTGTGCGCTGCTTGCTAGATGGGCTCCAGAACGGTTCAGAACGGTTCAGGGGCATGGGTTCCAATGCCTCCGGAACGGTTCAGAACGGTTCAGGGGCACGCGTTCCAATGCTTTCGGAACGGTTCAGAACGGTTCAGGGGCATGCAGTTTGGTTGCCACCGTTCCTCGGAACGGTTCGTGAGCACGCGGCTGGCGGTTCCTAGTCCTAGGTAAAAGGTCAGGCCGGCATCGGAACATCGCAAGCGATCCGAAATCTCAAAGCACAAAAAGGCAAAGACTTGTCTGAAATTTACGCGAAAATTTACGCAACCATTTACGCAGAAAAAGGCTGGCTGAACCGTTCTGAACCGTTCAGGGGACACATTTTGAGCATGGAGGTCCGTCCGCGGAACTTGCGTGCACATGTGACAGCATCGATCGCTCCTCTTTTCCGGCCTTTGCTCAACTGGGTTTCTGGAATCGGTTCTTGGATTCCTGGGTCTTGCGGACAAACGAGGCGAAGCCGCGGCAAAGAAAAAAAACAAAAAACAACGCGCGACAGTTCCACAACGCGGCAAGCAAAGCTGCAAGAAGGCAAGGCTTAAAATCATCCTTTGCAACTCCTGACTGGTTGGATCAGCGGCCACGCGGAGACAACCTCGTAGAGTCGTGTGTGCATGTGTGTGTTTGTGTGTGTGGGTGGTGTCTGTGTGTCTGTGCGCCAGGTGCATGTTAGGAATATAGACGTTAATCTTGATGTTCTTCAAGATTGGCCCTCGCAAGGTCGCCCAACAAAAAGCTGACTAAGTCTTGATTGTTGGAAAGCGCCCTCAAATATTCTTAATGTTGTTCACGCAGCTGACATAACCAATGACCGGACATACCGGACGTTCTTTGACAAGACGCAGTGTTCCTAGTCCTCGGTTCCTACAACATCTCCTTTCTCATGATCACTAAACACAAATTGACATGTATCTTGGTGGGGGTTCTGGCTGCTTATTAGCATGGCAACGCAACCCAAGCGCAAGCATGGGCGCACGCGCTTTTGCGTCCGGAGCTTTTTGGCTTTGCCAACGCGACACATGCTCGCGAGCAAAAACTGTGGCTCGCAGCTACCAGTACGCATGAACATTCATGTCAAAGTTGTCGCGGATCTTCCAATGGTTCATGACTCATGACGCTTTGCCTTCCTTCAGTGATATGAGCAGGTTAAATTCGCGAAGGGGAAGATTCTCGCCAATACACATCCCTGTCAATGAGGGACACTAAGTCCAGCTCACGCAGGGTTACTCAAGATTGGGCAAGCCAAAATAAGTTACAACTAATTTACCTCACTATTTACCATATTATTTACGGACTCTTCCTATTAAGGGCCAGGCCAACCAGAAAGCTTGATTTATTTACGTGATTGTTTACGCTTTTATTTTCGGGTACGGCGAAAATGACAGACACCCCTATTTATAGAGGCTAAGTTTTGGTTTAACACCATCTATATAAACCCTTCACAGACTGCGATGCTTCCTAGACATGTGAACAGTCCGATGTACAGCAGCTGCATTTTGGTCAGAGGGACAACCAACGGTCTCCGCTGTCCTGGATGCATTTTTCGCCGTGGAACTCATCGTTCCAAAAAAACTCCACGTGTGTTTTATCGCATCTGTTGTACTTGCATGTTCTTCAAAACTGGCGAAACGTTTCCTGGGCAATCATGCGATTGTTGGTCAAGCTCGGGAGTGGAGCCCTGGTGAGTCCAAACCTGAAAGAACCAGAGCCGCGCGTGGATTCTCGACTCCTCGACTGGGGCCGGCGCCCAGGTCACCGTCTCAACGCGCAGGGCCTCCCACTTGTCCCGCACCTTCTGCAACTTCTCCGGCCACGTGGCGAGCTCCTCCTGCAGCTTCGCGCTCTGCAGCTGCTCCTTGCCACTCGGCCACTCGCCCGGGTGCTCTATACGCCGCGGTTGGTCAACCTTTCGCCTGCCAAATCAACTCTAAGATCTACGGTTAAACTTGACCATCCATGCGAGCGAAGTGAAAGGTGATTGAAAGTGTATCCCCCATTTGTGTTTTGTTTTCCCTTCACAAGCAGCCCAAACGAGCTACGTGAGAAAGAAGCAGCGCAAGTTGGTCCTGCACCATGGCCTGCTCCAACTCTCGGCGTCTCACTGCAGCCTCGGAAAGCTGAACGCGAAAATGCGGTGGCATGGAATCAGATCATCCCTCTTGCTTGCCTTTCAAGTTCTCTACAAAATGCGCCAGGGTAGCCTCCAATTTGCTAGATTTCGACCAATGTAGCGTACGTTGTCGAAATCTGGACGGTCCATGGTTCCTTTCTAGTACTGTCAAGGGGCTACATTCAACATGTAGCGCCATTTTCCACAAATAGGCTGAATTTGCTCAATGTAGCCCTTCGATTTGCATGACAAAACGGCAATGTAGCCTGCGACCCTACATGCTTGCTTGCGCGGATGGGCAGCAGCGCTGGGCACTGGGGCCACATTGTCCATTTCCCCCGCTGGTTCATGGCCAGATTCAGACATGGCAGGCCAATATTTAAACGTGTTGTTTCAGAGCCGGAGCTGCCATAGATTACTTTTTGGAGATAGGCACAAACAGAGAGACAACCAGAGAGAGAGCTAGCTGTTCAGGCAGGGCAGGTTCAGACCAGGTTCAGGCCAGGTTCAGACCAGGCGGATGACTAGCCATCTCGCACAAAGGCTTCCTTCCGCATTTGAGGTGAGGTGACCTTGCCCTCCGTCTGAGCCCTTCATTCAAACATAATTTTGCATATCGCTGCCACGTTTCTATGAAGAGTTTAGTGTTTTCAGCAGCGCGCAAACAGACTACATCGTCCATTTTCTCAGAATAGGGCTCCCCTTATCCAAGCCCACTCCCCCCCTTTCCAGCCACACGAGTTCCAAGAAGCTGGCGCAGATCAGAACGATGCTTTTGTGACATAGTTTCAACAAATTCGGCCTGCACGTTTTCCACGTTCTTGGGGTTATCGCATCGTGTGGAAACGCGGCGGTGGTTTTGGCTTGACCCGTGATTAGCAGCGTCGCTTCCCCCAAATAGTATAACCCCCCCCCCCCCCCTCCCCCTAACAATAGTTTATCTTGCCGAGGGAATCATGTTTATTATTGGGTGGCCCCAGTTCGTTGTTCGATCCTTTGGGATGAATTATTGAGTTGGGTTTCTTGAGTTTAGTGTTGGTTTACAAGTGGACATGGGCCCCCCCTTCCGGACTTAAAACAAATGATGAAACAGCTGAGTTTCCAAGTAAGGCATGTAATTGGAAAGGGAAAAAAGGGTCTGCCTGCCCAATGTAGCCTGGACCCCTACATGTCAAAACAAGCGACGCGACAAAAGCAACAACTTTGACTCCTGACATGTTTTGTAGAAACATGACGTGACATTGAGAAAATTGCCAAATGTAAGGCCATTTTGTCAAAATGCATGTGTAAACAAAAAAAGGTTACAATTGCAAATGTAGCGGGTGATCATTTCATACACATGCAAGCAAGGGGGATAGATGCATGCGGAATCCCCACCGAAGGCCGTGGCTTCCGCTCATCACTGTCCGCCAATGTTCATTAGTATGTTTGTTGTCATACCTTTGCGCTGATTCCAGTCCGCCCTAAACATTGACTTTGGAGGAGGGGCAGTAGAGCCTGAGATCTCTCTAAACACTCTGGCATGAAACACATAAGAACCATAACAAGCGGAAAGCATCGCGGTGCTTGCAACTGGACATTTCAATTCGATCGTTAGGCCCAAATATCTCTACCTGCATTGGACACAAGTGCCGGGCCCTGTCAAGCTCGTCTGCCAGCTCAAGCATGGTATTTCGCACGGCGACCTGGCCAGGAGAAATCGCAAGGCAGGGCACCCAGTCAGTTCAACGCCAACCACAGTTTGTAAAACAGTTGGCAAAGCCATCGCATGCTCTCTCAATCATTCCGACTGCTTGCGAATGCTTGCATGTCCTGTGATTCGAGGCACTGTTATCACGGCCGTGCGCAAGTTCGCTCCATGCTGGCTCTCGCCAAAAGCGTAGCACCAAACCAATGTTCTTTTAGCCTCAGAACGATCCTAAATGCTAGCATAGGCTGCCCAAGGACTGCCTGCCACACACAAACATGCCATGCACGTGCATGCCAAGCAGGCCCCTTGCGGACAGCTTCACTTCAAATGGACTGGAGCGACCAATATGCCGATTCGCACACTAGATTCACCAAGAAAGCGGATGCGGATTACCAAGTAAGGGAACTCCGAGCTAGAAAGATGTACGTGCGAGCGAACGCAACAGGCCCTATAGCCTTCAGCTTGCTACTTTGATCTCCAGCTTCTCAACCCGAAAGATAAAACCAAGCAAAACAGCACCGCTGGGACATGTCATTTGGGTGACTGAAAATTAGCCTCTTCGTATTTTGCCAACGCAACTAGGTCCTCCAGTGGAGAGGTTAGAATAAGGGCACTTTTTTTCTGTAGTCTATTTTAGTCGGGGAACCCTCCCCAACAAAAGGGTAAAAGGGCACTACTGGGGGCCTAGGCAACTTCGGAGGGAAGACCCCGGCTTTGGAAAATCCGAACCCGCCTGCTGCTCTGCCCGGAGGTGCGCATCCTTCAGAAGCCGCACCCGCCGCTCGCTGAGCTCCTCGAACCAAACGCGCGACCGCCGGCGGGCCCAGCGCAAGCCTAGGGCCTACATCGCAATCCCGCAAAACAAGTCCTAATGATTGTAGTGTCTTTAGAGGAGCTTTGCAACTCACGCCAAAAGTGGCAATGAAGATGTACTAGCAATTACCGCTGGCCAGCTTGATCGAAAGAACCGTTCTTTCCGCCTCCCTGCACTGTGGCTGGGGGAGTTCCAGCTCTATTATTTCTTGCACGTGGCAGGCCTTAACTCAACCCTGCCAGCAATGATTTGGCCAACGTTTCCGGC